ATGTTTTCTCTGCTTGATGCATGCCAATGATTTGACCCTTCTCAAACAGACTAACATCTTTTCCACGACCACGGGATGTGTCTTTCGACATGGTTGTTTAGGAAATGAGAAGCAACTCATTGCACCAGTTGGGGTTAAATAACTTGTTGCCAGCTGAAAGATAATCGCCCATGCAGTAATTATCCAATAGGAGGCTCGTACCTATTTGCTTAGTTAAATCCAGGTGGCGACTTTTTTTTTGGCCAGGCAGTGTAGTAATACCATTATAATTATAATTTTAATTACCATTAAAATTTTATTATTACATTATAAATGTAATTTATGGTGCTGTTAGATTGCTGTTAGACCACCCCACTTCATTTACAAAAAGTGCGAAAGACGAGGGGTTTTTTTTTAACCTCAGCGAAAATGTTTCAAAGACAAATTCATGGAAGCGATATTTCACAAGATCTGATGCAAGAGGAATTTGGGATAAGATGTCTATTACTATTTATAACACTAGAACAAGGGGTCATTTTTACCCCCCTGCCATTTTGAAATGCTTGTAACTTTGTCACAATTAAACTCTAACATCTGTCTGCGAAATGACATACACACAATCAGATGGGGGAGAGGTGATTGAGGGAGAGACAGATGGGGGGGAGACACAATGGTGGAAATGAGAGAAGAAGAACTGGATGAGGGAGAGGCCGATGATTCGTCCTTTTCACCTGGGGAGGAGGAGTCATCTGAAAAAGGCCCAGGCCTCCGGTGGCAGAGGCTCCCCCGGCTTTACCCTCACAATCACAGCAGCCCTCTGATGTTGTGACAGGCAAACCCACACTCTCACAAAACACATTTACTAATTCTATGTGTATACATATATATATGTATATATATTATGTATATATATATATATGCTGGTGGTCTTTCAAGGAGGGGAAGCTCATTTTCAGCCTACATCATAAAATGTGTCCGTTTATTTATACGTAAATTCTATGTGCAGCTTGCTAGCTCACTCGCTAGCTGGGGCTGCTGCGCGACGCTAGTGTGACCGCCTGTGAGTGCTTTGGGACGGTGGAGGGGCTCACAGCAGCACCCGCTGCTTGTTGGGGACAGTAACTGCAGGGCGACAGAAGTCAGAGTCTCCAAACACGAGTACAGTCTCCAATAACACCAGAAAAATATGCTAGATTTGTTGCTAGTCATTTTTAACAAAGAAAAAGTCACTAAGAGGATTGGAAAAGTCTCCAGATCAACTCGGAACAACGGAATGAAACTTGAAAAATGCTCCGGTGGTGGTTTATATTTCAAGATCGCTGATTCACTCATTTCGCTGTCAATCAAAAAGGGATTCAGCCGCAGACAGATCATCCAATCATCATGCAGAAGCCCAGCTTCCAGGCCAGCCGAGGCCAGCCCACTGCCCCATAGACCCCCAGAGACGCTGAGCGTCCGATGGGTGGGACAAAACCGAGCATTTATCCAATGACTGCCTAGTTTCGCTGCAGTGGAACAACCCACTCTATGTTTCCCCATGGAAGTACATATTTGACCACTTATTTTTTGACATTTTAGGGGAAGCTGAGCTTCCCTTGCAGTCTTAGAGCAATCGCCACTGATACTTATGTCCTTCAGTAGTTTCTAGCAGGTTTACTGCACTTGCGAAACAAATTTCATTTATTTTGTATAGTGTCGGATCAACCAGATCTGTGTGAGAACCATTCAACTGGAAAAGACGGGACTGTGTGGAAGCATATACGGCCGGGATTACGCACTGGGAGAGCGCAGTCACAGAACATCTTGACTGAAGTAGATGACCCAAATGCACATGCACGCCGTAATATTGATGACCATTCATGTGTCTGATGGATCGTGTCATGCTGCAACACAACGTGTGACTGTGCAGTGAGAGAGGCGCGTCGATGTGGAGCGGTGCATGGTTGCCAACACGACCCAGCTACTCTTCATTCTGGAGCTCTGCAAACAGCTGGGCAGCGAGCACATCACTGTGAGTCTTCTGTATGCAGAACACAAGCTGCAAAGTTGGCTCCCTTGCCGACCATCCCCCGGCAGAGGAGGAAGAACCGTTGTGTGAAGGGCAAATGTGCAAAAAAACAAAACTACAAAAACGTGCATGAGGTGCTGCCGAGCAGCGTGTGGCCAGTGCACCATGAAAATGTACAGTGTGTGTGTGTGTGTGTGTGTGTGTGTGTGCTACTGTAAATAGTTACCAGTAAATAGAGTGGATGCTCTGTTTCTTTGTGTAAAACAATATTGTTCTAAAATCGTTTATTTCAATCCAAATATAACTTATTAAAATGTTCAATATTTTGTCATTGCTGTTATTACAAATTACAAACTACTTAAAACTAATTGAAAATAGCTATTTTATCAAGTCTTTCTCATCACTTTTTATAATGACAAAAATTAAAAGCTTATCTGCTTCAAGAAATGACAGCTTTGCCAAGTCTGATGCTGTTACAGCATGGGGGGTAAAAATGACCCGCTCTGGCGGTTCTAGGGGGTATTGGAATGTTGGCGGTTCTAGTGTTAAATGTGTTTGTAGCAAATTCTGAATTAGTTAATTAAGAATTTGTCATAGGCAGCTTTCACAAACTTGATGAAGTTTCCCTATCTTAATAACGCAAAAGGAGCGCACGTGAGATAAAGTGGTGCTGTTTATCTTTGAAGGTGAGGTAGCCCCCACACATCATTAACATTACCATGAATCTTTTTGGTCTTACTGAATGTGTGAATGTGCGATCTGAACAGCTTTCCAGCCCCCACAGTCACACACATCATCACACTGAGTGAACTGTAGGACTTTTGATGCAAACATTCAACAACACACCGTCACTGTCAATGTCTTAACTACGGCATTAAAGTGACATTTTACAATTCTTCACATTATAAACAAAAAAAATTATTATGTTTCTAAATTAATGTTAATGTTATTTTAAAATTTAAGTCTCTTAATGAGCATTTTTTTCAAAATGTAATTATTTTCAGGCACTAAATTATTTTCAAAACGTTTCTCATTATTCTGAGAGACTAACTCAATATTTTCAGATAGGGGAGACCTGGGCCAATTGTAACAAAATTTTAGGTTTTCCATTATAACTAATGTGTTTATAACACTGATGCTGCAGCAGATAAAGGTGGTCAACTTAATAACTTAAATAATGCTGGGTGGCCTATTGTAACCTGTAATAATATAACCCAGAAACGAATTTATATTATTGTACAAAAGTACTGTAACTAATAGGCCAAGCAAAATCTTTAAAATAAAAGTAGTGCAATAAATGTGTAATATTCGCATCTGAGACAGTGGAGTAGATTAATAATGTAGCATAGAATGGAAATACTACTACTGTACGTAAAGTACAAGCACATCTAAATCTTTGTTAGTTTTTGTGTTTCTTTGAGGGAAGCGCCATCTCCCAGATCATAGGGGCGGCAGACCAAGGCAGCCCCCTCACTCTGACATCTCTCCACTTCTCTCCAACTGCTCGGGGCCCCTCGGGGGATTAATAAAGTATATAAAATTAAAATTAAATTAAATTAAATTAAATCTCATGGTGACTCCTTGTAATTGAATAAATGGGCGTGTTTCAGTGGAATCAAAGCCAGTGGAAGTTGGCTGGACATTGGAAGGCTTCCAGAAGGCTTTCGGAAGGCCTGGAAATTTGAAGTGCCTGCATCTGTAAGAGACTGTATGCAAACTGGACATTTCCTGTGAAAACGAACTATATTTTGAAAAGACAAAATGCATGTAATAGGCTGAAGTTGAAGTAAAGTGATGAGGTCAGAGTGAGAATGTGCTGTTTCTGACAATTGGGTTGCTTTAGCGATGTCATCATGTTCCCAAATCTGTTGTGTTGTTATGTTATTATCTACATCTACAATATCATTATGAGCTATTAGAAAAAATGGCTCATTGACAGCTGAAGTAATCAACCTATTACTCAACCTCATCTACTTTTAGTTGTCCTAGGAATGGAATTCTTCAGTACACACGCTTGATTCAAGTACTTTGAGTATATTTGATTTGATCTCTTATTTCTTTCCTTAAAGTATGTGTCAGGACCTCCAGTATACAGCATGTCAGATTTCAATTACCCCTTACACACCTCAGTAGTAGCTGAAACCCTAAAATGCCCAATCAAACTACCATGGCAGAGTGATTCCCTATGGTGATACATTCTTGGTTTGTTTATAGTCGAAGTCATGTGTATAAAGCATGCTTCATTAGTTTTGTTTTGTTTGTCAGTATCTTTAGAAGCTGCCGAGAACATTATGCCAAGCTTCCATGTTTCCTTTCCATCTCACACTCTGACCTCAGTGAAAAACTCCCTCTGCTACTGTGTCAGGATCATGCCACAAGAGAAAAAACACCATTTTGTTTTAGCCATCATCCTCTGTTTTCTCCATCACTCCTCGTGTAGTACAATAAAGTACCTGGGAAGCTCCTGCATTTTGAAGCTTCACAGACAATAATGGATTTGAATAAATGAAGTGCTTTGCAGGCAACTGACAGTGACCCATGAAATAAAAAGCTACATTAAAACATAATAGCAGTTCAATAGCTGCTGATATCCGTTTCTAAACACATATCCATGTGTAATGATGGATGTTCTTACTGAGAAGCTCACCAAACATCACATTGAGCCAATACGACTATAACAGCTATGGAGGTTTCTGTCCTTTGGTTGTTATTTGCAAACATAAATTACAAATAACTTATATTACTAAATATTTGTCATAATGTTGTTAATGAGACCTCAGCATTTGTTCAGTATTTTCAACTCACCTTTGCTATTTTGACAAAATGGCTCAGTATTTCTGCTCGGATTTTCAGCGTCTGGGCAGTTAAGATTTCTCTCACCAGCCAAAAGCTCACCTGAAACATAACAACATAGAAACACACAACACACATGTCTAGCTGTAATTACAATGCCATCACTTTAGAATTGCACTTACATGAAGTTGTGCACTTGTTCACGAAAAGCAGCAGAGGACACTAGATCCTATAACATAACATAACTTTGATGACATACTCTGGACATTATGGCACTGTGTAAAGGCTGAGTAGATTAGTGAACAGCGTTTGATGTGTAAAAGTGAAAAAGCTGAATTTCCCCTCAGGGGGATTAATTAAGTATATAAATTAAAATTAAATTAAAATTGGTCGAGTCCCATTTACATGCCCGCAACAGACTGCATTATACAAGAAAGTATTATTTGCACGTTTCATGTTTACAGCACATTCTTAAAGGGAAACTTCCCCTATTTTACATGTCAGTATGTGTTTCCAGGTAGTACTACTGCATATGGGAAACCTGTTGTATAAACCCTTTGGTGTGTCAAGAGAGAGCTGCGTGAAGACTGATAAATATGTCACTTGAGTCAGCATCAGTGTGGTCTAAAGACTACAAGTTTGAAAACTCCTCAAAATTCCTACTCCTCACGTCAAATCAAGTCAGTTTTTTTTTATATAGCCCAATATCACAAATAACAAATTTGCCTTAGGGGGCTTTACAATCTGTACAGTATACGACACCCTCTGTCTTTCGACCATCGATTCAGATGAGCCTGCCAAAAAAGGGATCTTACTATGGAGAGGCATGTAATAGAATAAGCAGCTCTGACGTGCTGACGTATTGCGGTAAGCGAGTTGTGTAATTTCCGGTGTTTCTGTGACAGCGTCTCTGTACTGCTCTAGTGAATTCTACTAGCCTGCTTTCTGCTTTCTCACTTCAGTTGCTTTAACGTCTACTTCAAGTCTTAACCCACACTTGTTCTGTTTATGCACTTATAGCTCTCCTCCTTTTTACGACTTCCCTGCTAATCTCTTAGCCGGTGTTTGCACGTTACTAGCCTTGGTAGCTACATTAGCTTTACAGTTATCGATGGCTTCTCCCTCTGCTCTTTCTTGCTTGGTGTGCCAAATGTTCAGTTATGCCTCTGCCTCCTTTAGCGACAGTGGTAATTGTAACAAGTGTAGCTTATTTGCTGCGTTGGAGGCGAGGCTCAGTATATTAGAAGCGCGGCTCCGCACCATGGAAAATCATTCAGTAGCTGCCGTTAGCCAGTCCCCTGTAGCCGGTATGGAGCCACATAGCGTAGCCTCTGCTAGCGGTCCTCCGGTAACACCCATTCAGCAGAGAGGTTGGGTAACTGTTCGTGATAGGCACAGCTCCAAGCCGAAGCCCACGGCTCACCACCAGCCTGTTCACGTTTCCAACCGCTTTTCCCCACTCAGCGACACACCCGCTGAGGATAAAACTCTGGTTATTGGCAGCTCTATTCTGAGGAACGTGAAGTTAGCAACACCAGCGGCCATAGTCAAATGTATCCCTGGGGCCAGAGCGGGCGACATTGAATCAAATTTAAAACTGCTGGCTAAAGCTAAACGTAGATTCAGTAAGATTGTTATTCACGTCGGCGGCAATGACACCCGGTTACGCCAATCGGAGGTCACTAAAATTAATATTGCCTCGGTGTGTGAATATGCAAAAACGATGTCGGACTCCGTAGTTTTCTCTGGACCCCTCCCAAATCTGACCAGTGATGACATGTTTAGCCGCATGTCATCATTTAACCGCTGGCTGTCCAGGTGGTGTCCAGCAAACGATGTGGGTTTTGTTAATAATTGGCAAACTTTCTGGGGAAAACCTGGTCTTATTAGGAGAGACGGCATTCACCCCACTTTGGATGGAGCTGCTCTCATTTCTAGGAACCTGGCAAATTTTATTAGTAATTTAAATCCCTGACAACCCAGAGTTGAGACCAGGACAGAGAGTTGCAGTCCTAAACGCCTCTCTGAGCTTCTAGTTCAGTTACCCAGCCATAGTTTTCATAGTTTTATACAAACGGTGTCTGTCCCCCGACCACCTAAATTATTTAAATCTAAAATTAAACAAAGAGGAGTTGTGCATAACAACCTCATAAAAATTAAAACCTCTTCTGTGACAGAAAGACAAAACAGGAGAATTAAATGCGGACTGTTAAATATCAGGTCTCTATCGTCTAAAGCAGTGTTAGTAAACGAATTAATATCAGATAATCATATTGATTTACTCAGTCTCACTGAAACCTGGCTGTGTCAAGATGAATATGTTAGTCTAAATGAGTCCACTCCTCCCAGTCATAATAATACCCACATTCCTCGAGGCAGCGGCCGAGGAGGGGGAGTTGCAGCCATTTTTAACTCTAGTCTGTTAATCAGCCCTAAACCTAAACTAGATTATAATTCATTTGAAAGCCTCGTTCTTAGTGTTTTACATCCGACCTGGAAAACCTCGCAGCCACTTTTATTTGTTATAGTGTACCGTGCTCCTGGCCCGTATTCTGAATTTGTATCTGAATTCTCAGAGTTTTTATCCAGTTTAGTTCTTAAATCAGATAAAGTTATTATTGTAGGCGATTTTAACATTCATGTCGACGTTGATAATGACTCCCTGGCTACCGCGTTTATCTCATTAATAGACTCCATTGGCTTCAGTCAGGGTGTACATGAACCCACTCACTGTTTTAACCATACCCTCGATCTAGTTCTGACGTATGGAATTGAAATTGATAACCTAAAAGTCTTTCCACAGAATCCCTTGCTATCAGATCATTATCTGATTACTTTTGATTTCTTTTTACTCGATTACACGCCACTCAGCAACAGTTACTATACTAGATGTTTATCAGATAGTGCTGTCACAAAATTTAAGGAAAAGATTACTTCGTCGTTAAATTCAATACCAATACCTTCAGTAACAGAGGTTTCCCGTGCCGACTTTAACCTCTCCCAAATTGATCATTTTGTTGATAGCGCCGTAGGCTCGCTGCGAACAACGCTCGACTCTGTAGCTCCTCTTAAAAAGAAGTTAACAAAGCAAAGAAAGTTTGCTCCTTGGTATAACTCTCAAACCCGTAGGTTAAAACAAATATCGCGAAAATTTGAAAGGAATTGGCGATTAACCAAACTGGAAGAATCTCGTTTAATCTGGACAGACAGTCTCAAAACTTATAAGAGGGGCCTCCGCAATGCCAGAGCAAACTATTACTCAGCATTAATAGAAGAAAACAAGAACAACCCCAGGTTTCTTTTCAGCACTGTAGCCAGGCTGACTGAGAGTCAAAGCTCTATTGAGCCTTGTATTCCTTTAGCCCTTAGCAGTAATGATTTTATGAGCTTTTTTAATGACAAAATTCTAACTATTAGAGGCAAAATTCATGACCTCCTGCCCTCAGATGGTAGGCCTACCTATCTAACCTCAAACACAGCTGTAGAATCTAATATATATTTAGATTGCTTCTCCCCAATTTCTCTTCAAGAATTGACCGCAGTGATTTCTTCATCTAAATCATCAACGTGTCTCTTAGACCCCATCCCAACTAGGCTACTTAAGGAGGTCTTTCCTTTAGTTAACACTCATATATTAGATATGATCAATATATCCCTATTAACAGGCTATGTACCACAGTCTTTTAAGGTAGCTGTAATTAAACCTCTCCTAAAAAAGCCCACCCTGGATCCAGAGGTGTTAGCCAACTATAGACCAATATCTAATCTTCCCTTTATGTCAAAGATCCTTGAGAAAGTAGTCGCAGACCAGCTGTGTGATTTTCTCCAGGATAATAATTTATTTGAGGAATTTCAGTCAGGATTTAGAGTGCATCATAGCACTGAGACAGCTCTAGTTAAAATTACAAATGACCTTCTGATTGCTTCAGACAAAGGACTCGTCTCTGTTCTTGTTTTATTAGATCTTAGTGCGGCGTTTGACACAATTGACCATCAAATTCTACTGCAGAGACTGGATCACTTAATTGGCCTAAAAGGTTCAGCACTAAGCTGGTTTAAATCTTATTTATCTGATCGTTTTCAATTTGTTGACGTTCGTAATGAATCATCCTTACGTACCAAAGTTTGTTTTGGAGTTCCGCAAGGTTCTGTGCTCGGACCAATCCTATTTACTCTATATATGCTTCCTTTAGGTAACATCATTAGAAATCACTCTATAAATTTCCATTGTTATGCGGATGATACACAGTTGTATTTATCGATGAAGCCAGAAGAAAGTAATCAATTAACTAAACTCCATAACTGCCTTAAAGACATAAAAAATTGGATGAGCACCAATTTCCTGATGTTAAATTCAGACAAAACTGAAGTTATTGTTCTTGGCCCCAAACAACTCAGAGACTCTTTATCTGATGACATAGTTTCTCTAGATGGCATTGCTCTGGCCTCTAGCACTACCGTAAGAAACCTCGGAGTAATATTTGATCAAGATTTGTCTTTTAATTCTCATTTAAAGCAAACCTCACGGACTGCATTTTTTCATCTGCGTAATATTGCGAAAATTAGGCCTATCCTGACCCGAAAAGATGCAGAAAAATTGGTCCACGCTTTTGTTACCTCAAGGCTGGATTACTGTAACTCTCTATTATCAGGTAGCTCTAGTAAGTCCTTAAAAACTCTCCAGCTAATTCAGAATGCAGCAGCACGTGTACTAACAGGAACTAAGAAACGAGATCATATTTCTCCTGTTTTAGCTTCTCTGCACTGGCTCCCTGTAAAATCCAGAATTGAATTTAAAATCCTACTGTTAACTTATAAAGCTCTAAATGGTCAAGCTCCGTCATATCTTAGAGAGCTCATAGTGCCATATTATCCCACCAGAACACTGCGCTCTGAGAACGCAGGGTTACTCGTGGTCCCTAAAGTCTCCAAAAGTAGATCAGGAGCCAGAGCCTTCAGCTATCAGGCTCCTCTCCTGTGGAATCATCTTCCTGTTACGGTCCGGGAGGCAGACACCGTCTCCACATTTAAGACTAGACTTAAGACTTTCCTCTTTGATAAAGCTTATAGTTAGGGCTGGCTCAGGCTTGCCTTGTACTAGCCCCTAGTTAGGCTGACTTAGGCCTAGTCTGCCGGAGGACCCCCCTATAATACACCGGGCACCTTCTCTCCTTCTCTCTCTCTCTCTCGTATTCTATTACTGCATCTTGCTAACTCGGCCATTCTGGATGTCTCTAACTCGGCTTCTTCTCCGGAGCCTTTGTGCTCCACTGTCTCTCAGGTTAACTCGTATTGCAGCGGTGCCTGGATAGTGTGATATGTGTGGTTGTGCTGCTGCCGTGGTCCTGCCAGATGCCTCCTGCTGCTGCTGTTATCATTAGTCATACTTCTAGTGTTATTATACACATATGATTATTGTCACATATGTATACTATCAGATATTCATATATACTTTCAACATATTGTACCACAGTAACCAGAACTATAATTATAATATTATTATTTTCATTAATGTTGTTGTAAGCTACTGTCATTACCGTCTGTCCTGCATCTCTCTCTGTCTCTGTCTCTCTTTCTTTCTCATTGTGTCATACAGATTACTGTTAATTTATTATGCTGATCTGTTCTGTATGACATCTATTGCACGTCTGTCCGTCCTGGAAGAGGGATCCCTCCTCAGTTGCTCTTCCTGAGGTTTCTACCCTTTTTTTCCCCCTGTTAAAGGGTTTTTTTTTTGGGGAGTTTTTCCTTATCCGCTGTGAGGGTCCTAAGGACAGAGGAATGTCGTATGCTGTAAAGCCCTGTAAAGCCCCATGTGTTGGACTTATATGACTGACCTACCTACCTACCTGCCTTACTTACTTACTTACTTACTCACTGACTTACTTATTTATTCATATTGGCTTACTGTCCTTGATTAATATTTGTGAAGACGTTCCCATATCATGTAACTTCATGTGAAAATACTAAACATCGAACAAGACTTTATTAGGTGACCAAAACGTTACAATTAATTTTCATGAATTGAAAACACACTGAAATAGTAAAACCTACAGCTATGCCTATACTGTATGACGCTAGGGTTACACCTTAATTACATTACATAACTGACCTACCGTGGTTGCTCCTTGTCAATGGACAGCACCCTTCTGTCACTCAATGTCCACGCCCTTAATTATGCTTAACTTATAGTTACTCTACTGTTATTTTCTGAAAAGCACTTTGTGATTAAAGGTTATTTAAATAAATTTAAAATTTACATTATTTATTTAAAGTAAAGAAACTGACTATGGTTGCCAACTTTGTGTAATGTATTATCTGTTTCACAAACTAAAATGATTTCATATAAAAAAACAAGGTGATTGAGCAAGGAAACATTTGCTTGAGAAATTTTGTAAGACGTACCTGGTTGAACCTGCGTGTGAATGCAACCACATTGGGGGCCAAACTGTGTTTCTCTTTCCCATTCCATCCGCAGCTGGCCAGCTCCTGCCAATCAGAAAATCACATTACGTACTAGATTTAAGGAATCTGTAACAATGACCAATACCACGATGAGTGTGGTAACAGATAACAGAGCATGAGGCAGTTAAGATTTACCAAAATGGTAGATGATAACAATACCAAATTTCTTTGACTGGAGCTGACGACAGATTTGCACCCACATAAAATTCCCTCAAATTAGATCATATTCAGGAAAAAGCCTAATGAACTTCTCCCTTATTGTCCCCTCAGAGCTGTTGCCTTGTCAAGGTGGGAAAGAATACAAGTGCAAATATTCCCTCTGGCAATTATAATGATAAGTCATCAGGAAGCAGTTTTTCATTGTCCTAACCACTGTGCGTCAGCACGCCTCATTGGCCGTGTTCTCGTGCAGAATATTAATGAACAAGGAAACAAGACTAACAAGACCAAGAGTGTACAGCCTCCATATCTGAAATCTGGGGCTAATCTTAAAAAAACACACCTAGCATTAAAATAGGACTTTGATGAAAAAGCAGTATTAGCTAATACAAACCAACCACTATTTTTCTAAGCTACATGTGGAGCACTTTGATTGATTAATGGATGTTTCTTTTGAACAAAATAAAAAAAAAAAAATAAAAAAAAAATAAATGAAATGAATGATAACCTTTGACAAACTCAATGAATACATTGTCATAAACAATGAAAAAACGGTGTAGGGAAGTGGCCCTCAAATGGCGGCCGCCTATTTGCGGACCGTGAACTGAACACCTGACTCCTTCACTGTGTGTGTTTTGGTTTGGTCAGCACGTGTAAATGGGCTGTCATCTCCATGCCAATGATGCGCTGATATGCTGTTAGTGAGAATGGCACATTTTTTACTTTCGCTTTTGAAGTGGTACGCTTATCGATACTTTGCCAGCAGTAGGAGCCTAGACTGAACAACACTGCAGCTGTTAAACAACATCCGAGGGAAAAAACAGAAGTGGCTGATTTTAACATTTCTTTTAACTGAATTGGAGAGTAGCTACAAGGATTTTGAGGAATGGGATGCCGCTGAAGAAAAAGAAATGGTAATTTTCAGAGGAAGGTAAATCTATACTACTATACAAGCTGTACACTGACCACTTTAAGTTATATCAAAGTGTCATTTCTATAGTGTTATAAAT